GCCTACACCATGAATGCATCACCCATCATACTTGGTTTTGCGAGCGAGCTGCAACAGGTCATCTAGTTTCATATAATAATCACTTTTCGCGAATCGTTTCAAGTCTTCTGACCAACACAGTCCTCCAACTCCCCCCACCTTCACCCTGCCCTCGGCAGCGAGGCACTGAGCAGTGGCTACTGGAAGTCTTTTTTTTTTTTGAAGGTTTTTTTTTCTCTTTCTACTTTTTTGTTGCAGAAGGGTGTTGGCTCAATATTAGACTCAGAAATAGGGCTGTAAAAGAATTGATGGATGCTAGGTACGGTACTAGGTTCCGTAAGACTTGATCTTGAGGTCGGCAGTAGGCTTGGCATTATGCTAGTGGGGTCAAGAAGCAGTCAATTTCCTTGTCCCAGCGTGTCATGCAGTTGAGCCTTCTTCGAGAGCTTTTAAGGCCAGGATCCACTCCTGCTTTGTTCGTACTCGGGAAGCATGAACCTGGCCATAAAACCGACCAAATTGCTGCTGTCTGAGCATGAACATAGCACCAGCGAGGCCTGAGCCTTCCTTTCCCATTCATGCTCATTCTCCTGCACTGGTCTTCAGACAGCACGCAATGCGATTTCGTCCTTCTCCATCGGGTCAGAAACTCTAAAAGGCCCCAAAGCACAGGAACAAAACCTTCCTCACAATGCGCAACAGGTTTAACCCTCGGGCCACAAAATAAAAAGCCCTCGGGCCTTGCCCACCCGCTTTACTCGCCCAGGTGAGACAAGAAGTTAAGAGTGAGAAAGAGCTGTCCTGGCCCCCACCCCCTCAATCCTACATAAGTGGGGGAAAGAGAAAACCAGAACAAGGGAAGGGCTTATAGAGGAAGTGGCTTCAGGGCGAGGTGGCATGGATGGGAGGGAGGGAAAGAAGTTAAGAGCGCGTTGGAGCTTTCCCGCCCGCCACCCCCTCAATCCTACATAAGTGGGGGAAAGAGAAAGCCAAGCCAGAACAAGGGAAGGGCTCATAGAGGAAGTGGCTTCAGGGCGAGGCGGCATGGATGGGAGGGAGGGAAAGAGGTCAAAAGTGAGAAAGAGCTGTCCCCCGCCCCACACCCCCTCAATCCTGTAAGTGGGGGAAAGAGAAAGCCAAGCCAGAACAAGAGAAGGGCTTAGAGAAAGTGGCTTCAGGGCGAGGCATCATGGATGGGAGGGAGGGAGGGAGGGAGAGGCGCCGGGGGTGGGGCACGAAGGGTTGGACGATGGTCAGTTCTACAGCACTTTTCCACAGGAGCTATGGTGGTACAGTCATGCCTGACATGTGTCCGGATGGATGTTTCTACACAATCTGATACCACATCACTCCAACATAAAGTATGAGAAGTTGGTAGATAATAACTTAGATCAGACAAAAAACACGAGGAAAGGAATCGAATGCACATGGATGAAATAAAATGCAACGACGACAAGCAAACCACCATAAACAACGAGATTCAATGAAGGCCCTCACGACTCATCAAGGCCCTTGGACTAATCTGAGTCCGGGAACCAAATCTGAGTCTGCGGGTCAAAAATTGCCAAGCTCTGAAGCCCAGTGGCCACCAATCCACCGGTCAGATTCAATGAAGGGGTGTGCAAAGGACAACGAATGGGGAGT